GAAATTTGCAAACCTTTGATATCCAGCTCTCGTACAATTATTACAATTAAAATAACCCATGCCGAGATATATAGAAACATAAGCAGTGTAATATATATTGTCTTTGCCACGTAAATATTGTTCTGCTTTCCATCGTCAACACTAGCCCAGATACTATGGTTACGTGGATCAGAGACGTGATTCATGAACGCCACACTTTCTTTAACTTACAATCAAGTTTTTGATTTTTTTACTGTTTTTTTTTTACTTTACTTGCATGTTTTACCATTTTCCTTCTTTCTTGACTACTTTTCACGGAACTTATTCTTTCCAACCATATCTTTATCGATTCCCCAGCCAACTGTTTAAATCTTACAGCCAAAGTTTTCGTCTTTTGAGTCAAATTTTACTATTTTTTAGCAACATTTTGCGTCTTTCAAACTAAAGTGTTCAACTTCCCTGGCAATGTTTAATACCTCCATGTAACTTTTACCACCTTTTACCCAACGTTTTCGAATTAACACCAACAAATTTCCGGAAGTGTTCCTCTCGTACTTCTTTTCGGGCGTTTTTACAATTTTCCAACCACATCTTACTACTTTCCAACCATTTGTTGGACATTTCAGCCAAATCATAATACTTGTATTCAGCATTTTGACTTTTAAGCAAAATTTGTGAACTTTCTTGGCAACTTGCAGTATTTCCCGGACAAACTTAATCACTTTCTACACAACAGCCAACATTTTCAACTCTCCTGGCATGTTGTTATTTTCTTACAATCACTTAAAGATCTAGGTTTTTCGATGCTTTTTGAAATTTCTTTTTAATTTGTTCTTCAATTTCTGACGAAAAAAAACACACACTGATGTTGACATTGTATTGTGCTGTACGGATCTCGGTTGTGTCTTATTACCATGTGTATAATTTGCATGCCTAAACTATTACCGGGGGTACATGGACAAATGAATAATTTGCATTAATTTCATGGCTCATGAAGCATATAACTTTAGACTACTTATTATTCAAATACAAACAGCCATAACATTAAATGTTGAATCCCAAATCACACAAGCAATTCAAGTTATGTAACAAATGCCAAGAAACATAACTTAGAATAGGACTATAGTTATGTCTCATTTTTATATCGATGACAGACACTGCTAATGTGAATGCTCGTTTAATGACTAATCCGGGAAACCGCCGTTCCCATCTAATAATATTGTGCTCTTAATATTTTGTTTGTTGTGTGTTTTTTCTGCTATTTCTACTACACATAAAGGGGAAAAAATACCACCCTTTTAACTTTACCAAGAGATTCTGCATATGCGGATGTGTTCACTTTGGTTCCAGTGCATTTAATAATCAAGTTTGCCTCAATTTCGTTGCCTTTATTCGTCGTAACTTTGAACTTCTCTTCCATGAAATGATCAGGAAGATCATCCATGTTCTCAACTTTTTCTCCTGCACAATGTAAAAAGCGGAATACCAAGAATCATATCATGTTGGTTTGTATAAAGAATGTTCATGTGTTAACGGAAGCGGGGAAAAAAGAATACAAAAAAAATTACCCAATATCAGTTTGACTCCTAAGGCATCCAATTGACGCCTCGTCTCCTTGTGGAATTTATTACTGAAAGCGTCTGAAACAAGTACTTGTTTGGAATGAATCACGGTCACTTGTTTCTTCGGATGATCCTCGGCGATTTCCGTTGCCATTTCGACGCCCACTGCTCCACCACCAATGATTACAATGTTGTTGGACTTTTCTATCTGGCGATATGTAAACGAAAAATGCATAGTCTTCCAAGTATATGAAGCGTTATTACTAGAAAAAGTGAAAAACGTTTGGTGCAATATACTTTATTGTAAATTCTTCAAATTTGGATATATGGTGGTTGTGTTGTTGTTGCTGTCGTCATTGTTAATGATGTTGCTGAATGGCAACTACATCGCTGTAGTCATCTCAAAATGTTTGAACGTCGCCACTTAGACCATAGATTCGTGTTAGATGGTTATAGATAAAAAAATGTGTTAGAACAGTCAATTAATTTGTGATGGCGTTCACTTTCTATTTAAAACAAACAAACTCCCTGGTCAATATTACGTAATACTTAGTGACTTAACAAACAAAATATATAACACAATGAGTTTGTTTGGTAAAGAACAATTATAAAAAGAAATACCTCTTGAACCAGTTTTGCATATATCTCCTTTCCCTCAGACATATCTACATCCAAAGGTAGTTTTCCTGGAAATGGTACGCTGGTCCCGGTCGATATAACCAAATGAGTGTAAATGATTTCTTCTCCATTTTCCATTTTTACTATTTTGTTTTCGGGGTCAATCCCAGTAACCGTGCCTTTTTTGAAACTGTCTTTCTCCACAATATCCGTGTACGGTATAAAGATATGCTCCGCAAAACCTTGCAAAAGAAATGTTAATATTATAAATGGGAGGGGGTCGTCATGCAATGCGCGTTCAAATCGTATTTTACATAAGTTTTATATACGTTAATTGTGAGCTTAGCGGATTCATTGCTACATTGCTACAACACGAATGACCAAATGGGGTATAACTTCACTGCCAATATACAAGCACAAAATACATTACCCTGGGTATCATTGTAGTTATATTAGATTTGATTCGATATTATATGATGTGATTTATATAATATGACTTTGCTGAAAAGGGTATTTCAGAGTTTAATAATATTATTGTTACCGCGGAGATTATGTAACGAAGTACATAATTTAATGAGTTTAATCGGATCGGATTTTGTACAATATGACAAAAAGGTATGTCACCGCCAAATAATAAATGACACCATATGAGTGTATGATGAAACATCACGTGTGTGTATGTAACCTTTGTTCATACGTTATATAAAGTTAGACTGACATCAAATAAGATGTATCGTTTGAGTTACGACAATGACGTCACGTAGCATTGTCATGCTGTTAATTATTCACGGAGACGTATAGATTGGGATTACATTCAGTGAATTACACATACCATTTGTATTGTAGAAACTTGATTACAACACAATACAATGTAACTGTTTATTTTCGATACATATTATTCTGTCTGCATTGTACATTGTTCGATTGGCAAACCTGCTAAATACATGGACGAAACAAAACGAAAGGAATGATACACGACACACATGATCGGTTAGGCGATGTATTCTTCGTTCCTTTAGACCCTCTTTCGTTCACATTCTTTGTCTTGATTGGTTGAACAAAAGCGACAAAAGATATGCATATTCATTTTGCTGATTGACTGCTGAGATGTGCATAGGAATGTGGCGCCTCGCTCTAATTATATTATACGTATGGGTATGCTACGCTTCGGACTATGTTTACACTTTTAAACCTCATTGTTGTAATTAAAAGTTGTAAAGCACAACAAGGCCGGATGTCATAAACATCGCCGAGTACTCAGTCATAATACTGCCATAATTGTTCTAAATAATAACGAACTGCACAACGACACGTGTTTGATTTATTTGTCTTGCTGTTATGACAACAAGGTAATACACATGTAGCAATTGAATTGGAACATTTTGATGGGATTGAGAGCGTTTTTTGTTTTTTTTCCTCCCGAATTTCAGTAATGCAATTAAAATAAATCTCTTGAACAAACAAATGCGTACAGGTCATTTTTGTATATTGCATGTTCTATAAAATTATATTGCAGTATTTTAATGTTAATTATGTTATAGATAAATTAAGTAATTAAAACATCAGTCGCTTTAGGCATTGCGAACTGCTCGTAACTCGTAACGTATTTTTCACTGAGAAAGTCTGATGGACAGCTTACCTGATTCCACGGAAGCTCTCAGCGACGCTACAGCATAATGCATACCGTCCCGTCCATCAATCAATGTAAATTTGCATTTTCCTTTAAGGTTGTGAGCGAGCCGGGCACCGGCAAATCCGCCCCCAACGATAACCACATGCCATTCTTCTGGCAACAATGATGATGAGTTACCCATGATGCAATGTTAACTGAAATAAATAAATAAATAAATAAATAAATAAATAAATAAATAAATAAATAAATAAATAAATAAATAAATAAAGTCATATTACATTCTATAGTAACTACACTCATGTTACTACACTACAGGTCACTCGACCGTGATGCTTATAGCATAAATAGTTAGAGAGGTCCTATTTTAAAAGGAAAGAAGTACATTGACATACCTATAATTAACAAACAATGGTCATTGAAGGCGGTTGCGTTCGGTTTGTGTGTAAATAAACAGCACATTTTTGAAACACATGTGAACACTGCTATGGGACACATTCCACCACTTTTACAAATCTTGTACTGAAATTGAATTCCTCCGTAGTAAACCACGTTTGTCTAGTTAATAAAATGCAAATTGAAGGATCTGCCCACGCTGGTCGCTAAAGTTGGCGACCGGCGCTATTCAATTTGTTTATGATACACGCAGGATGTCGGCCACTGGACCACCATTATATTGTCATTGTTGGTGTTAACACACAACAACACAATACAAACAATTATCACACAACAAAACTTGAAAGAAGACATCGCTGTTCAAAATCAACGTACACGTGTTTCATTTGAAATTGGATATTTTAAGCAGAATTATCATAAGAGTCAATATTACCCCAAATCAGGTCCATTGAACCACCCTGGTAGTGGTATTAGTGAAATATTTGACCCAACTAGGTACTCAATTTGAATATTCAACTCAAGCCTAACGCCCAACTGATGTTGATAAATATTCACTGGGTTTCGATTGAGCGCATTCATTCATTTTGTAAGCCGTGTACGGTATGCAAATTTACAACGTTATTTGACCTCTTAGCTTCATCAGCTGATCGACGTAAATGCAGCACAAACACTTTTCAAGTTGTTAGAAAATATCTAGAGAATCTCCGCCTCATTTCTCGGTGTATGATGCGGGAGTGTACAGAACAGATGTGTCGCCACTCCTATGCCCATCAACAGTTCTTACTACATACTCGCAACCTCGTACCGGGTGTGATTAAGAAACAGTTCCGGTCTTGGTCGGGTTACAAAAGTTCAGTGGCCTAGGTAGTCTGTGACGAAGACCAGGCTAAGAAATTTGGTTAGCAACGATGAATCAAAAGATGCAAATTCACGTGCATACCCGAGTATTGACTTGCAGTGATTTGCATCAAGTTTCTCCTTTTCTTCACCCCTTGAAAGTATACATACGTACTCGTAAAATAAATATAATTCGATCTGACCTGGTTTCAAGTCACGAACACTCAGTGGGCGATCTTTAAACTACAACATTTTGTCTGTCCACCATGTTTAAAGAGTGGCAAGTTAATTACACCTACCTATAATGCAGTCTTGTAATATTATGCCTCAAAGATAATCAAGTCAAACAATTCGGGCAACAACTATGCCGACTATGCTGTGTCATTCGTTGTCATTTAGATCTAGACCAGATGTAGTTAATTATTCATTATATCATTAATTAATATATACAGGTTCCTGGGCCATACAGTTATGTGTTGTTTATATTAATTGGCTACGGAAGCCGTTCTCTAACGCCCATTACTCACGGGTATCTGAGGGCTTCCTTTACTTATTGGCCAATTTACTGCTATACATCTGTAAACGAATTGTGATTGGTCAAGTTGTTTTCAACATTTATAAATATTTTATATAGAATACATTCATGCTTTCATAAAATTCAATGAGCAGTTCAAAGCTACGACTATATAATGCATGCAAGAATATTTATTATAGATGACAGAGTTCAAGTGCTCAAGAGCACTCAGTCGTTGGTATGTACGGACACATGATCCAATGACTCAGCACTTTATACTAACCACCCAACATGTGTGACCTAAAGTTTCAGTCCAAAGGTCGTCGGTATGTATAAACGCATGTTCCAATGACTCAGCACTTTATATAAGTTATGTGGTCGATGATTTTCACATATATACACGTAAAATTATGTTTTACTAAGTCTAAGGCATGTTCATAAGTAATTACAATAAACCCACGTTTTAAATACATTATTAATATAATATATGCAAATTTTAAATTAGGAAATTAGGAATGAATGATTTAAATAATGTAATAACTCAGTTCTACTGTGTCATTCGTTGTCATTTAGGCCAGATGTATTTAATTATTCATTATATCATTAAATAATATACACAGGTTCGTGGGCCCTACAAATATGTGTTGCTTATGTTAAGACAATTTGTTTATTTAAAAAAAAAGGTTTGTTTCAATTTCTCATGAAGTCACATAGAATTTCACTTAATTTATTTTCGCTGAAATGTTTTCAGGCACCTAATTTTTACTGTGCTGTGTCAAGTCTCAAAATTGAGTATAGGGGAAATGTCATTTTCGCTGCAGTTTATTTTAGCGGACAAATGTTCTCAGTTAAAGTGATGTATTCCACAGTACTAGAAGTGGCGTTACAGGGCCAAGAGGTATATTTGGGTATCAAAATGAGAAATGTTAGTTTACATTAGCCGTTACATATACAAATACGATTAATTAATGAAAAAAACTAAGATATTTAAATGCAACGTTTTATTTGCAAATAGAAAAATAAAAATATTTTATAGTAATGATTAACACCGACAGTTTGCAAAAAGTGTTTGTAACTGACAAAATATTAAATAAATATTTAAAATACGACTTTAAACTGAAAATTCAAGTCAGTTACTGCATACAGTATAGTATTAAATGCGTTTTTTGAAAGAGGAAATGATAATTTTTTTATAAAAATTGGAAGACAATACCACTTAAAGGGATTAACAAGTCTATGAGGTTAAACTTATAAAGGTATTACAGCACAATGTAATGGTAATGGCAAGTGATAAGACCTCACTAAATAAAGCCAGAGAAGAATTTCATATTAATCCTGAGTGAAAGGAAGATAGTTAAAAAATGAAAAAAAAAATTGTCATATATAGTAATGTTAAAGAAATGATAATATTTTGATTTTGATACCGTATTTCCTCTATTAGCAGCGCTTGTGCTTACGTAATTTGACAAAAGTGTTTGTATAAACTACAATATTACCTTGTTCAAAATACAATATTATCTTACAACAGATATAAATAATATTTAGGGTTTATACGTGCTTCTACTGGAGGTACAAATTCCTGATCATCACAGCCAAATATTTGTAAATTGTAAAGATGTGAGAATTACGATCCGGGACTACAATAGGCTCCTACTAACACAGTGATTAAATGTCAATCGTTTGCTAGAACATTCGCAAATAGGACATTACTACAACATTAAAAATATGCAGTTTTATGGTGTAGCTTTACAGACGCTTGTGATTATGAAAGTGAAATGGAACTATACCAGCTTGACGGACGATCTGTCTACGTTGACAGAATCTTTCGACAAAATGAACGAACGTGCGTTTACAGTTTAACTAATACACCGAGTGTTATGGTCTACAATTATAGAATCTTGAAATGAAATTACCTCGTGTTTACAAGTTAGAGAATATACCAGTTATTAAATATAACCATTGTATGTAAACAATCTTGCCATCGCACGATATCCCAGTACGACGGTTATATTCTCTTCTCATCATCCACGGGAAATGTGAATAATTCGTTCAGCAACCAGGAAATAACATTTTCAATTTCCCAGCAGAAGTTTAAATATAAAATAAAGATTGGACAGATTATAATTCATTAAATTAGGAGAGCATTTCATTATTCCCCTAACAATATAATACTGCAGTAATGCTGGGCTTTCCAGGAGAAAGCTACATATTGTACGTTTAGTACAAAACCTCTCTATGACACAGTTCACCTCCTCAGCTAAAAATGAAATCGGTGAATACTTTATCCCTTTTTGAGAAAATAAATCACTGCCTTCACCATTGCATTCAAACGAATCACGTGGTGCGCTGTTATATTCTCCTTCAGCACCCACCGAAAAAAGTAGGCCTACATTACACTTCCTTGAGTCAAACCCGAGATTCAACCATTAGGAGCGATTCAGAGAAAAAAACATTGCATAGCATACAAATTCAACATTTGCAAACCAGTATACTAAAACAGAAATGCTCAGTGATGCAAAAGAAGGCTAGATATTACTTTTCAGTATAAACATCTTTTTTGACACAATCCCTCACATATTCCACTCCCAATTATTCCTGTGTAAAATGGTATAGCGTCAATCCACGTACATATTCCGAGTGAAATCACGTGATGGGCTGTTACAATTGGCTGTTACACGCTCTTCTACCGGTCTCCCAGTAGGAGTGCAACCCGCATGACTCTGCCATTATAAAATAAGGGGTGTTTTGATAAAAAACAAATAACTCTAGAGTACATACAATACACTGAATTCCAGAACAAATCTCGCATGAGTGACAGCAGCAGAATACCACATCAATATTAGACAAAACATATTTCGGCCTTAACCCTCTCTATTGCAATTCTAGAAATTACTCGCATATGTACAAACATTTTATACTTCGGTATCACCCACCCCTTTTTGTCCGTTGGCTCCTAAATTAGGGCTCATTTCCAGAAATATGAAAGAATATAAGAAAACAAATGCAGACGATTTGGGCGAGGAAATATAGTGGTGAAAAGGTTAATTCAGTGAGTGACAGCGACATTGGTAAATGATCTTAAATTATTTGCACATCCACTTAAAAAAAAATTTCAACCAGAATACAATAATCTTCAAACATAATAAACTGTAATATTTTTAATAAAAATTATAGATTTAATAAATTATCATTTATCAATACTTTATAAAATAACAATATGGCACAATACAATTGGCAGTTATAATAAAATTGTTCATTATAATACAATGTTTCACTGCTGATTAATATGTAGTATGAAATGGTGACTTATTATTTGCATATGTATTTCCTGTGTCTGTTCATGTTGAGCCTTGCAGTCATCTTGTATGGATAAAACAATTCCATTTGACTGGCAGCATC